GACCTGCTCTGGCCTTTGGGAGCCCCTGTGGGTGGGCTCCATAAGGCTGTCCTTGTATGGACCAAGTTTTAATCATGTGTGTATATCACTGGCGAGACACCCAGCCTCTGAGTTTGAATGCTAACTATTTTTCTTGAATAATGTGCTATTTCTTTTATTCCCCTGTGTCATGTGCTCCTTTTCCTTCACCTTGTTTGTTGGCATGTTTCTCACAGGTGTACTTGAAAATCTCTCCTTTGGCTTTGCATTGGTAGCTGAGAGTTCCAACACATGTGCAACTGGCAGCAAGTACTACCTCACTGCATGACAATTCATTTGAAATGAGGGGACTGATAGACTGAGACTCCAAAAAAATCTCTGTCCTGTTTGGCCTGGCCCTTCCCATGCAGGCAAACAGGGTGCTGTGTCAGTCAGGTAGTATTTTGCACCCATTTCATCTAGGTGCCAGTGAAAGCATGATGTGCAAAGTGAAGTTTCAATACTGTATTATGAGAAGTCTGGCAGCATTTCCACCACAGGTGCATGTATTTCAGTGAGACCAAACTGGAGTAAAAGAAGGTAGGATTTTCTCAGCCTGTGAACTTATGCTTGTATTATCAGCTCTCAGCAATATTATCTGCTTCTTTTATCAGGCTCTCATCGTCTGGGCTTTTTTATAATTATAGGAAGAGTGGATGAAGTCCTATTAAGTTGTCTGTGACTAGAAAAAGAATTACTGCACTGATACTTTCAATCCTCTCTGGCATGTAAAAAAGGCATTCAGAGTTTACTGAACCTCCGCCTCACACATCAAAAAAGTAATAGAAAAATTCCTGCTGATACATTATCATGCAAGTATCCAATTCTGTCTTTTCTTGCTGTGGAGACATGCACAACATACAGGAGAGACTTAATATTTATAAGATGCCCAACAGGACTGAAAAAATGGACAAGTGCAGAGTATGCACGTTATTCATTACAAACATGATTAGTGTTTGTATGTAATAGATGTGTTGTTAAAGCACAGTGGATTCTTCGAAGTTTACAAGTTTGTTATGAATTGATTTATTCATGAAATGCTTTGTTTCTATGACAACTTTATTGGTTTGCCTGTAGTCTAAATACATATAGGCATGGCAGGAATTCTACAGTACAAAACAAATTACATGCTCCCACCTGAATGGCTTGGTGCCTTTAGGGAATGTACAGAAATAGTCCACACTGAGGGCTGAAATCGCCATAGACTGTGCCAGTATAAGAGGGCTTACTTAATAAAGAAAAATGCTTAAAGGTCTTCCACAGCTTCCAACACACTGCAATAAAAGCAAAAGATGGAAACGAAGAAAGGAATCTGGTAGGGAAACATAAAAGGGACCCAAAACCCAATTGCAGAGATGCTAGTGTATTCAAGAAAAAGCCACAGATCAAAGACCAGCACTCTCCCACAAATAGAGCCTGCAAGAAGCTATTAATATTCATAACAGATCTAGACCTACAAAAGAAACTGGAGAGCTATTGTTTAGTAAAAAATTAGTGTGAAAGTATAGGACATTAGTTGATAAAAGGATAGGAAGGCTTGCTAGAGCAACACAAAATGGCATCAGAGAAAAAAGTCACTAAGTAGATCAAATAACAGAAATGAAAATACAAGAGCAATAATTAGGACTGGGACTTGGAAGAGAGGTCAGAGACCTAAACAGAGTAATAGTTTTCAAAGCATGCGAGACAAAAGTTATGTAGCAGTGCTTCTATGAGGGACCCCATGACACAGGGGTCTCTCCAGGACACTATTGTAAACTGCAGTAAAACTATGATGCTTTGGCTGCTTCTGTCCTGTGGGATGCAAGGCCTTTTTGGAAATGATAAACAAGAGCAGTGGAAACTGAAACAGGCTCTCCTGTTGCATCACCCATAATCTATCTGCTTTTCAAAGCAGAAGCAGCAGAGAGTGCACTCCCATGCAAAAGCAAGTTTTCCAGCAATGTTTTTTAATCTAAACAAAGCTGCCTAGTATTCTGGATCATTTTTCAGAAAATTGGTATGATAATTTCAAAGGGAAGACGGGGCACTGATAATCCTCTGCCTAGCCTGAAAGCCAGCGTGAAAATGCCTTAAATTAGAACAAACCAGTGCAAATGCAAATTCTGTATTGGTAAACCACAGACTACACCTCTAGCTCATCTGCCTCTTTCAGGAACCTGTGCTGTGGTTTAGGTGTTTCCACACTCACTTGGCTCAGACCAGGTTTTTGCCTTGTAATTTGGCTATTGAGCTGTAATTTATTGAAGTATTTCACTGATTTTGTCTTTTATCATAGAAGGTTGAGAGGACGGGCAGATTTTGCAGCACTATGGATTTAAGGATGCACTGCCTCCCTTGCACTGCAGCAAAGCCAGACTGTAAAGCCAGTGGGGTTTGGTACCTAAGATTTGGCTCAATGAGTCAAGTATTGTTTGCATGTGTGAACCAGGTCATCTGCTTTGAAAGGTGACCAGGCTGATGCAGACAGGCACTGCATGAGAGGCAGGCTCCTGAGGCCAGAAAGCAGAGAAGAGGAAAAGCAGGTAGTGAGATGGGAGGCTGCACATGGCTTTGTGCTGGGCAGGCACACAGCATTCATAGCTCACCCTCTCAGTAAGTGCCTAAGACATTTGACTAATTTGACATGGAAGCACTAATAAAATAAAAAGCTTCTCCAATTAGTGCATCCTCTCTATTATTTCTGACTGGTGTTCTGACCCAGTCCCTTCCATATTCCTAATTGCCTGTGCTACACTAAGTGATACCGCCTTCCACACACTTTTATGAGCTGTGGCCTCCTGCAACAGGAGAGATGTGTGAGTAGCAGCCTCTGTGATTGACTTAAAAGGACACTGTGGCTTCAGCTGGTCAAACTGAGCATTTAAAAACTATGGAATATCTACAGAGATAGACTTTAGAGGGAGGAAGTGATCACCTACTACAGCAGTGGGCCTAATTCTCAGCTGGTCATCGTGCTTGCTTCAAAGCCCTCCATAGTAGCAATGGATTTTGTTTGGGTTTTTGTTTTGGTTTTTTTCAGGCTGGGTATAAGCCTTGGGAGAGAAAGGAGTGTTGACATCAGCCAAAAAGCTCCTTATAACACCATGACTTTGGGACTGAAAAAATGCTGATGTAAAACTACTGGGTGTGCTGAAATAAAATGCAGGGTTTCTTTGTTTCTTTAGTTCTCCATTTCTAGATTCTAAGTCTCTGAAAGGAGTAGTTGCCCTTTTCAGGGTTCAATCTGGATATGAAATGTGTAGTGAAGATCTCTTTTCTTTCTCAAGGAAAAGAATAACTACAAAATCTTTTCCATTAGTATTTCTTTTTTACTGGTTTGTACCCAATTTGGTACAAATAATGCACTTTCAATTTAGCTTTTTTTTAAGGAGGTACATAGGCTGAACAGTGGAACAGGCTATCCCTCAATAAGGCACAGAGCCAAAAGTAGTTCTAAATCTCCCTTAATGGTCTGGTGGAGGTTCTGCTTAGCACTCCTGAAATATCTGCTGGCTTTTCAGCACTGCTCCCAAGAGACCCAGCTTCTGGTGGAACGTATCAGGGCAAGGATGCACAGGAGGTTTGATGGCCAGAACAACTCCAGAATCAGGGCAAGGATGCACAGGAGGTTTGATGGCCAGAACAACTCCAGAACCCAAGGTGCCTGGTCAGAAGCCAGCGGTGCAGGCACTGCAGAGATGGACAGCCTGGATGTGTGTACCACTCAGCTGTTTTGTTACAATTCTTTGTGCATCCTCTTCTCATTTTGGGAAATTCTGGAGATGTTTGGAACACTCATCACAGGGAGTGCTGCATCTCCAGCATCCAAGTAAGGCTGTGGTACACACATGGTACCATCAAATAATGCTGCTTCTTAAAGGATCAGCACAGCTCCTGCTATGTAGTGCATGTGTTTCAGTAAAGAGTGGCTTTTGACAAACATGCTTGGAAGTGAATTTAAAAACTATTTTTAAAGTATCATAAATGCTTTTATGGCCCCTTTTAAGTGCTGTCTGAGCTATGTAGGAAAATGTCATAGTTTATCCCATAACTAACCACAATATTTAATTTAATGATGGCTATAAAACAAGTGCAACAAAGAGAAAACTGTTCTGAACTTTCTTGACACTGTATTCAGCAAATACTTGCTCTTTACCTGACATGCCATCATTTACTCCCTCAGCCCTCAGAGAACAGCATGATAGCTGAACTATCGATAGAGTAGAAGAAATCATAGACAAGGAAAGTAAACTGTGATATTTTGAAATTAATGATGTAGTTCACTTGATGCACTGCATGCCTAATCATGAAAAATCTGAAGGGAAGAGCTTACTTAATGAAATTTTGAAAATCTCTGCATTTGTGTATATATAAGGATATGCCTTATGATCTGATGTGGTGAGTTGATGCATACAGCACTTTACACTCATGTCAAATGCTTAACTGAATAGAAATGCCCCTTTTCACTGCCTCTCTGGGGTTGGGCTCTGTATGTTTGTGTGTGCACATACATGCATACAGAGGGGCTAGGAACAGGTACCCTTTTTCATTAAGTAAGTGACATTTTCATGCTGGTACAGCATCTATCTATCTATCTTCTTTCTGGCAAAGCTGTGTGCCTTTCAGTCAGCATCTGACTAAAGATCAATGAGAGAAAGCTTTTTGAAGGTGCTTTCAGGTCCTGCGGCAAGGGAGATGATCAGAAAGCTGCCATAAGCTTCGGACCCACTTGACAAATGAGGAACTATTTTGGTGCTCTGTAAACTGCTGTCACATCAGTTAGAAACACTAATTAGAACTACTTTGCTGTTGAAAGTGTCCAGTGCATTAAATACCACTTCTGCTTATTGCAATTAGCTTATCCATTGACTTACACTTTATACCACAAGACTATCAAAGATGGAAATGCATAAGGGATTGTTTAATAATTTATGAGGGAAATTAGAACTGAATGGCAAATAGCTTTTGCCTGCTACCCTTTGACCTTTCATTCCTTGCAGAGCATGAAACTCACATGTGAAATGTGTTCATCCTTGGTTTTGTCTAGCTGGAGAAGAGTCAACAAACCAGGATGCACAAGTAAGCAAATATCAGATTATGTCTTTTTCTCAGTGATGTGGAGATTAAATGATGTGGGTAGCTTCTGAAAAGCAGTAGGACATTTTGGTGCCACACAGTCTGTAAAGAGAGAATTTTATATACCTCCTGTTCTGTTCTTCAAGCTGGTTCTTGATATTGATAAAGCAGGGAGATTTTGTTCAATAATTTATACCATATATACATACTGGTGATAGTTTTTAATGCCATTTTGTCTTTTACAGGGCAAATTTGCAAATGTAACACTTCTAGTAAAGAAGTGAAGTTGTAAGGACTGAGACAACTTCATATTTTTGTTTTAAAGTTAAATTTTGAGTCCATAATATTTAAACATGCCTTAGGAATAAGAACAAGGAAGTAAAATTTTCTCATACTCATGAAAAGCTCATAAAAGTCAGAAGTAGTCCAGCCATTAGGAATGCCATGACTCTGCACTGTACACAGAAGTTTTTAGCAGAGAGGGAAAAGAAAATATCATTCCAAATAGCCGAGTTGCAATCTAGCACCCAACATAAAATCATGAGGCTTCATTCCTCATTCTGCCTTTGTTACCTCGGTTTAAGCACTTATTCTTTCTGCTTGGGTTCCCACTGATGATATTAGTTCTTAGTTTGGCTGCCAGGGTGTTAAAAATAACGATTTGTAATTTGTTATTTTAAATGTAAGATGGCAATCCCACCACCACTCAAACTTCTCAAGAGCTCAGTTTTCACCTGAAGTGGTTTTTGGGTTTTGTTCTCAATTTTTTTGTTCTCTGGGACCAGTCCAAAGAAACACCTGTGTTCTCTTCCTTAAAGTTTAGCAAGTAATATACATTTTTTTTTTCCTAAAGTGCTCTTCTAAAGATGCAGACAGAAAACATAAAGCAGCAAGAGGCATTTCCATCTAAAAACGCCTAACAAGAATCATCTTCAGTGATCTGATTCCAAATATATGAAATTCTCCCAGTCTTCAAATTTCTTCATGATGGATGCAGAATATCTGCCTGAAGCCCTATATTTTGTCAGACTGCTCCATACAAAAATATTTCTGAAATAACTATTTACTATTTCATTTTCAAAAACTTTACATGATAAAAGATAAAATACTATTAACAAAGGAATGGGCATGCATGCACTTACCAAAATGCAAATATAAATTACAGTTTTAAATGGTTTTGTTCTTTGAAGCTATTTACGAGTTTGTTTTTTGATGCTTTAGGAAAGAAAAGTATCTGGAAGAGCAGAAGAGAACTGCAAGATCTCAAGCCATAACTGAGTCTCCTCAGCCTGCTAACATGAGAGACCAAGGCATTTGTGCCCTTCACTTTTGCTGCTTGTAACCAGGAGAAGGGAGAGAATTGGTTTGTTTTTTTAACTTGAAAACCAAAGCTGAAGATGATGCACCAGACCATACAGAACTGTCTGAGGGCTGCTTTGGTTTGGAGCAGTTCACCTCGCTGGTCCCTTGGGAAAGCTGCACTTCCTTCAAGTGGCTCTGCTCTTCTGCCTGCCACAGCAGGAGCACCATGGAGACATTCATTTGTCATTTTTTTTCCCCCCAGAAATTCACTGCATTGTTGAAAGTTTCTGGCCATTAGGGAGGTCCAGATCCATATGGGAGTTCTGGAAAATTTTTGAGGTTCAGCTGTGAATCCACCCTTGCCACCAGCAAAGGTGCTCTTGGTGCCATTGGAGCCAAGAAGCAATGCCTGAGCAAGGAGGAGTGGAGTGCATGTGTAAGTCCCAGCCTGAAGCTCTGCTTTCCTTCATTTCTAATTGGCTGCTGCCTTCTTTTAAGACTGGTAACCTTAGATCAGAGGGAAAAAGAGGATTACTTTTAAGCATGATGAAATTTAACTTGTAATTGCTGTTTCCACAGCAGCCAATTGAGAGGTAAGAGCATAGCTTTACCAGGCAGCTTCTAATCTCTAGGATTTACAGATGCTGAAAATGAGCAGGAAATCAGGACAGCAGTGACCTACCTGGAGTGCAAATGCAACAACACTCACAGATATCCATGCTAAAGACACAACATTCATAGCAAATTTTATCTCTCCTGTGCAACTTTGAAAAATTTCATGGTTTGATGATTGTGCCAGGTTTCACCTAGTATTCATCAGATGCTGCATTGTATTTAATGTCAGTTTTGGTATCCCCCTGCTTGATACAGGGTGCCACAATATATTCCATTGCTGGTAAGTTCCAACAGGGAGGCAGTAACTTAGGCATTGACTGCTTCCCCTGACATTTCATGTTCCTGTAAAATCAGCTACTTAGAAAAAAAAGCACAGCATTAATTTAGCTTACTCCTTCCCATGAAACTGCTAAGACAATCCCTGTAAAAAGCAGCACTTCTTCAGATGTCCAGTGCCTATGGGGTGTGCTACAAAGCATGTTTTGAGAGCCAGCACTGACTTGCATGAAGCCCCTCTATGGTGGCTGGCTACATTTCCTCAATTCTAAGAAACAATTTGGTTTTCCTGCACCACACAAGGTAGGCAGAAAGTGTGCAGTATGTGTATGGCACCTTTTGAAAGCCTGCCCTCACACAAAATGTGCCATGGGAGAGCTGACTCCCTGTGCCATTTTCTCCTTGGAAGCAGCAAACGCTCCCAGCCCTGAGCACAGGTGCTGGTGCTGCTCTCCCCTGAACTTGTTTTCCTGCCTGCTCTCTGCCAGCAATGCAGGTACAGCACACTGCCTGCTCAAGGCCAGGTCTGAAATGTGTGTGTGCTGGCCAAGACTATAGACTCAGAGCTGCTCTGGTGCAAGTGTAAGGTTTTCTGTCCTAGAGCATTGGTAATGGTAATCAAATTACATGTATTTCTCAGAGTGATCACTGAGGAAATCTTAAAAACCATACCACACATAGAATGTTCTGAAAAAAGTGTTTGTTATTGTCATTCTGTTCACCAACTGCTTTTCTGGATTTGTGTAATCAACAAATATCTAAATGAAGTATTGGCAATCTTTTCTGTGTAATCCAAAAAAAAAACCATGAAAGAGGAAGTTATACAAGTAGCTTTAGACAATGTCTCTTTCATGATATCAGGGAATTCTTTTTGTTTTACTTTAGACATATTTTGAGATTTCTTTTATTGACTGTTTGTTTTCTATAGAAGACTCCTAGCCCACTAGGGAGAGTTTCGCCTTTTCTCTAGAATAAATGTTTATCTGCCAAATATCTCTGTTTGTGTTTCCTTCCCCACCTGCCGCTAATTTTAACATTCCCCTCACTTGAGCAACAACAAAGCTTCTTTAAGTGATTGTCTGTGGGTGTATATAAGTGTGGCCATGTCCAAGAGCAGGGGCAGGGAGCTTGGCCATTCAGGTTTGTGTCTGATGGAGGTGCCTGATGGGTGCTCTTGGCCCCTTTTTCCTGCTAGAGGGCAGGATGTTTTGGGGGGGACCTCTCCAGTGCAAGGTCCCCTTCTGACAGTTCCCAGGTGTTCTTGCATGGAGTGCTAAATAGCTAATATATTAATTCTGTTTAATTTAACCAGTGTATGTATTAAAACGCCCAACAGAAGCATGCATGTCTAGGACAGCCCAGTTGAATGCAGTTGTCTTGGGAGGAAAAAGCTATTTGTAAAATAGAACTGGACCAGAGATGTCATGTTTTGCTCTGAATTACTGGGATAGCAAAACTCTTTGTATCAGCTTTCCTTGTCTGAGAAATGTTCTTGTGAACTGTCTTAGTCCCTTAAAACTTCTGTAGATGGAAAAATTCCAGTGAGAATTTTAAAATGGTATTTGAAAATAAATATAGGGTATATAAAAATACTGAATAAGCAGCTGAGCAGTAGAAAACTGTAAGAAAAATTGCTATTGTGTAAAGATATATAGTTGCAACAGTAGACTGATATCCAATAATTTACTACTAAGTTCTAAAAACCAGATGACTGCAAAGTGTTTGCTAAACCATTCTTTTTCACCTGACATGTGGTTGGATTATGTGAACTGACTCACCATTTAAATGGGGCTACTGAGATTGGTGTGTTATTGATTCAGACAATCCTTGACCCCAGGGATAACACGTGCTGTAACAGAGGAAACTGGCTTTTAGAATCCTACATCTTTCTCTCTGCATCTATGTTATTTGACAATACTGAAAACAAAAAGATTAGAGAAGCAAAGAATGAGTTAATACTGGCAAATTCAAGCAGCTTGTTTGATGAAGTAGTGCTGGTGCTCTCCAGGAGAAAAATTGAGAGGTGCTGAGAGTTTAGCCCTTTGGATTCAAATTCTTTTCAAGAAAGCCATCAGTGGGCACTTGCCAGAATGCCTTCAGAACCGTTTCTTTTTTGGTTTTTTTTTCAGAGAAACCTTAAAATAACAAATAAATAAAGCAGCAGACTGATGATCACAGTCTTAATTAACTGAAAACTTGTACTTTTTTATTTTAAGGAAATCATCCCTTGGCCTGTTTGTCTACTTTATCTGTCATTCATCAAATTCTGAACCTTTATCAATCTCCAGACATTGAGCAGGTAGCCTGGCACTTGCCCAATACGTACTGGATGATGCTGCAGCTGTTGAACAAGTACTTAATCAAAAATTATTCTTTGGCTTTTTATCAGCTTTTTCAAATCCCAGGTTGCAAATCAGTTGCTTCCTTTTTAGTTACACAGAAACAAAATGAGATGCACCTGAATACTTTTAAAAATAATTACTTCTAATACTATTTACCAAGGCAAACATTCATCCATGCTCATATCTTCCTCTGCAGACTACAGCATTCACTCCTTTCTTACTCTTTCATATGCAAACACCGAGTCTGTGTTATAATCACTGAGCATAAGTCAGATAAAAGCAAAGTCTGATGTATTAACAATGAAAATGGTCTTCTGAATAAAAACATGGATTATCATGGAATTTTTGCTAGGATTATGCCAAGAGCCTGAGAACTTGTCTCTGAAAGACTTATTCTTCTAATCAAAGTGAACATCCCATTTTTCTATGCCTTTTTCCTAAGCGGTTTGAAGAATGATCTCTTTATAAGTACAGCTTCTCCTAGACACAAAATTCCACTAAAATCATTTGGGGAAAGGGCAATTGGCAATGTCTTATAGGTGATCTTCCTTTAGTCTCTCCAGTGCTATTGAAACAGTATGCAGACTGGGTTGGTCTTTGGGAGCCTGAAATCTCCCACTCTGAATGGTGTTGTGAAAACAAATCCCTTTTGGTGTGGGAGTATCTGCACAGAACAGCTGATGTGGGCTCTCCTTGCAGAGCACCGGCTGCCATGTTCACACTACGTGGCTGTAGCTTCCATGGTGGGAGGGAGTCAAATGTGGATCCCGGTGGGATGTGTGTATGCTAGGCTTTGGAGAGATTTCTCTTGGAGTTTCAGACAGCTCTGAGCCATTTGCTGACCTTTTGAAGGATTCCTAAAGCTGTTAGTCAGAAAGCATTAGTGTTAGATGCTGACAGTTCTGAATGGGTTACATATGTTTCCTTTGCTTTTACATGCTTAGATGATGCTTTACCAGTGCCAAGTGGTGGCAGACAAAAAATCATCAAAAATGGGTATGACATGGATGGAAGGAAATGCTATGTGTGCAGAAATCTTGCTTTCCTCTCAGGACACAGGACTCTACTGCTCAGTGTCACTGAAGTGCCTGTAATGTGTAAAACAACAACCCTTCCCATGCCCACAAAACGCAGTGGCAGTGTCCTGCTGCCATCTGGGACACAAGGCATAGCACAGACAGCACAGCCTCAGTGCATTTTTCCTAGTGGTAAAAAAATCTGGGAAAGTCTTCCCAATTATTCCTAGATGGAGCAATGTAGCATAACATAGTAGTGCACAGATCAGATGAGTCATATTGAAGCTGACTCCATGCTGATAGTGAATTGCTTTCACTTCAGCAAATTCTTGAAGCACCTCATTTCCTATGAGCTAGATTATTTTTTTCATAAATTGTGGACAATGAATGAGTTTTAGCCCTTGCCTTTGTTGCTGAATGTGGCAAGCCTGATCTGTGAGTAATGGAGGCAAAAAGAGCAATCTGTTCCAGAGCCTCCACAAAGTTTTCCATTGTTTGGGGAACGAATCAGTCCATTCTCTACATGAAAGGGAAGGTCACGCTTAGGAACTTGATTTGTTGCAATGATCTTCTTTAATGTATTGCACTGCTGGTGACATTCTCGCTGATATTGGGGTCCTTTGTGTGCTTTGTATCAGTTTTATTTTCTTGCCAGGAAATTGGCTTCCTTACATATATAGGTGTTTCGATCTTGGATCCTTTTGAGCCCAGAAGTGTGCCTGCTAACATGCTCCAGACCTCACTGCATTCACAGTGGCACAGAACCAAGGTATGAAAAGCTGGCCTTAAGGATTTTAGCCCATCTTCCTATTGCAAAGTTTCTTCTTAAAATTAACTCCAGTTATATGGGGGATCAAGAGTCATTTGGGGGCTCAGAGTGGCATTTGGAAGGGCATGGCTTTTGCCATGCTCAGGTGGTTGCTAGATTGGAGCTGGTTCAGTGTTTTTTCTGTACTGAGGCAGGACTAAGACAAAAATGTAAATTGAGTTCATGTGATTTGGTGAGTACTAGCCTGGATGTCCACTCCCCCACCAAGAAGAAAGATCTGGTTTTACAGGGACCTACGTGGACCATCTGAATCTAAAGCAGTAGGCATCGGTATTAAGAAACCTTTAGCAAGAAGAAAGAAAATGGAGACAGAATTGAAAAAGAAAGGGGAGGAAGAGGAAAAGAGAGTGAAGAGGAGGTAAAGTTAACCCATAAGGGCAGCTTTGTCTACAAAGATGGGGAAATGGAGTATGCTGGAATCTCCTTTCTGATGAAGATGAGAGTGGGTTTTTCTTTTTCCTTAAAATGATTCTATCATGTATATGAAAAGTTGTTCACTATTGCCAGGTGTTACTGCTGGATAGGCAGTGAGCAAGAGCTCAGTCTTCCCAGTGCCTCAGGACCTTGAATAGGGTATGTGAAAAGTGACTAAGGAAAAGGTGGTAGCCATCATTCTTCATTGTCTAGCAGTGTGGATTGCTATAGGAACAGAGTTAAAGGCCCTGTTGGGTTCAGGGGTAGCCACTGAGACTGCATTTTTTCCCTCTTGTATAGGACTGTTGACATACTGATCCCTTCTCAGCCCAGAAAAAACCGAATTAAATAGCTTCTCTTTCCATGGCAGCACAGGCAAAGGCAAGGAGGATAAGGCTCATACCATTGTCCTAAGTTCCCTCTGGAGTCAGCAGAGCTGCAGCCAGTGGTGCTCAGCTCAAAGCTTTCATTGTCTCCTGCAGGGTCCTGCCATTCTACTCTTCTTGCATGGTCAGACTAGCTGGGTGCAAGTGAACCCAGGAGGTCAGGGTTTCACACAGCACCTGTCCTGTGACTTGGGAAGGAAAGTCTGAAGTCTCAGCTTACTGGCTGAGAAATGGCAGTGTAAAAAAAAGAATGTTTTCTTTAAGATTGCTTGTAAATATTAGCAGTTTTGGGGCAAACTCACTACGGTCTAAGGCCACCCTCAAGAAGTTTGGGATCCCAGACTTTTGCAGTGCAGTGCCCCTGCTGACTGCTAGTATCAAGCTATGCTGAGGTGGGGTGTCTCTGCTTCTGCTTGGCAGGACACCTGTGACTCTCCCAAGCTCTCCTGTTGCACCTTTTAGGCTTCAGAGAGCATTTCTGTGTGCTGCATCCTACAGAAATGCCCTGATCCTACAGTGACCAGAGCCCTGCACCTTGCCTACTAATAACCCAGCATGTGCCTCATTTGGCAAGGGGAAAAAGGACTTACCCAAGGCTTCCCAGCATCTCAGAGGCTGTGTAAAATCCATGCAGAGTCACTGGTATAAATCCCAGGTGTCCTCTGGAGGCTGGAATGCCTTCCTGAGCCACTTCAGCTGAGATGCAGCTGAGTCTGATCCATCAGCTTAAGAGGAGACTGTGAAATGCTTGTGAGAAGTTGCTGCTGCTGGGGAAGGAGTTAATTTTTTCTCAGATTTTTATTTTATTTTTGTTTTACTCTTCAGTTTTTCTCTTTGATCCTCAGAGAGGAATGTGGGCTCAGCTTACGATGAGTTAGGACTAGACCAGACTCTTTTTGGAGAAAAGCCTGAGATTCCAGGAGAGGATTTTGTTCCTTTTGTCTGCTTTTCTGTAGAAGTTGCTCATTAAAAGGAGAGTCTGAAT